GAAGAAAGAAAGAAAGAAGATAACAGAAAACCATAACTCCAGCAAGTTCTTTTTTAGGAATTGACGAAGCGATTCTAAACTTTAAGTGGAAGTGAGGAGAGTTGAACACTGTCAAGGGAATCTTGAGGAACAACAAAGCTCAACGCTCACACTGCTGGATGTCAAGAGCTGTTACAAAGTCACAGCAGTTAAAAAGCAGGGTGTTCGCTCCAGGAAAACAGCTCGATGGAGAAGAGAGAACACAGAGTCCAGGAAGAGGTCAAGTGTACACGATCGCCTCGTGGCGCTCCACTGACTTGGAAAAAATAATCTTCGTCACATGTAGGAAAAAAAATGAAACTTCCACCCTATTGCACAGCATATGAAATACCAAATACAGGTGAATTTCAGATCTAAAGATGAAAGTTCAATCAATATCATGCTTAAAAAGGAAACAAATAAAAATATCTTCATGAACTTGGAGCAGTAAAGTTCATTTGAACAGCTTGCAGAGACGTTCTAACGTACAGATAAAAATATTCTACATTAAAATTGAGAAATTCTGTTCAATAAAAGATAATATTAGGAGGGCAGAAAGGAGCCCACAGAGCGAGAGATCTGGGCATCGCATATGGAGAACTGCCCGCATCAGGAGGAAGGACGGGAACTGCCCGCGTCAGGAGGAAGGACGGGAACTGCCCGCGTCAGGAGGAAGGACGGGAACTGCCCGCGTCAGGAGGAAGGATGGGAACTGCCCGCGTCAGGAGGAAGGACAGGAATTTTGTGATCTGTCAGGGCCGCTGGCTGAAACTCGCCCACCAAGCCGCGCTCCGGGTGCGGAGACAGGAGGGTTCCCAGCCTCACCCTGCCGTCCGGCGCCTTCCAAATACCTTAGTCTACCGTGAAGCAGGGGGGAAGAATTCACAGGCACGAGACTCCAGCAACATTCACAGTATTCAGATATTAACGTCCACAAATAAAACCAACGAATTTCCAGATACATTAGAAATCATGAAAGTCCAGCAATACGGTTTGATAAAACAGCAATTTATCCATATCATTTGCCTATTTATCTAACGGAACCAAGAGAAAACCCTTTCTAAGAAGATGTTTCCTTGCCAAACCCTTCGGGTGCCCAGGCATCGGGGCAGCAAAGCCCTTGGAGACATCGAAGGAGAAAACTCCATCCTTCCCCGAAGAACATTAAAGAAACGCGAATTAAATGGAATATCTGCGGGCGCGAAAAGGCAAGAAAAGTGTCACCTGTCCCCAAACTGACCTGTACAGTCGCCACGGTCCCTATCACAGCTGTGAACCCGTTTGGACCCAAAGACCCTAAAATAAAGGGCACCCAAGGCGGGGACGAGCTAAGCGGCGCCGCGGAAAATGCTGCCGGCGGCTGAAGTTCGCCTTTCGCTCCGGGATGAGCCGCTTTTCACAACTGAGGACCCGTAAAATCAAGGTGCAGTGACAACGGCTGTTCTTGCAGCATTTCACTGGCAGCCTCGTGTGTCCTCCGTAAAGTACGGTGTCTTTAACACCGACAGCCTTTTAAACCGCAGAAATAACGCACGGTCAAGTCGCAATGACTGACGCTGCGGGGAGATGGCGCGGGGTTGGGAATAACCACAACAAGGAGCAGGGAGCTCAGGAAGACGCGGACCTG